CTCAACTGGGTTCCCAGCTCAGGGACTCACAAGGCCCAGAATCAAGGTGTCGACTGAGCTCTTATCTGGAGGCTTAGCAAAAATGCACGTCCAGGCTCCTGCAGGTGGTTAGCAGAATGCAGTTCCGTGCGGCTGTAGGATGGGGTCCTGTTTCCTTGCTGGTTTTCAGCCAGGAGTCCCCTATAGAGACTGCTGTCCCATTCTCACACATGGCTCCCTCCATCTTCCAGCCAACAATGCAGGCACATCCAATCCTTCTCTGACTTCACTGCTGCCCCAGCCTGAGAAAACTCTCTGCATTTAAAGGGCTCCTATGATTAGATCAGGCCCACCAGGATAATCGCTCTATTGGTGGTCTCAAAACCAATTGATTAGTCACCTAAATTACATCGGGAAAATCCCTTTTGCCATGTAACATGACCAGGGCATGATAGCTCATCATAGTCCCAGTCCCAGGGATTAGGGTGGAAAATCTTGGGGGTCCATTTTAGGATTCTACCTATGAACCCTGGTTTCTGTTCCCAAAGCTATGAATCAAGCAATGCAGTCTTTTATGGTGGAGGACAAATGAGGGTGTGGAAAGAAGTAAAGAAATGTCACTGCGCATAGAAACCCAAAGCCAAGGAATTGTTGGTTTCGTCACTTCCCTCTTCCCTACGCCATCCCTCAATATATTCAAATAGCTATACCACAAAGTAAAGTATAGTTTAAGTATCATGCAGGGAACATGGAGACCATGATGAAGAATACGATTGGTTCTTGAGAGGGAATTTCACCTAAGGCAGAGAATTTGACCCCCTCCACCATGGGGACAGGGAGGGTAGCCCTTAATCTACAGAACTGTGCTAAAGAGCTGGAACTGAATTCAGGGTGCATTGGGAAACACAGGTGTGACAGGACCTGCAGAATTATGGTGTGGGAGATTAATCTGAAAGTACCGTAGAAAATTCATGGAAACCTCTTTGTAGGAGGCCTTTGCAAGAGACCTGGTGAGAGATTGTGAGAACTTGGACCAGAAGGAGGGCAATAGGGAGGGAAAGGGGTGAAAACATATAACAAATAAACCAAAATGAAGACTTGGCAACAGTTTGGATGAGGTCAAAGATCAATCCGTGGATTCAAGTCTGGAAACCGGGAGAAAAATGGTGCAATGGGGAAAACAAGAAGAGCTGGTTTGCGATGGGAGCTGATGGGCTCAATCACGGCAAATGTTCGTTTTTTCACGTCTTCCATTTGAAACACAGACACACCTAAGCATGTGCACATGTACACACACGCGCACACACACACACACACACACACATCTCAACTTTGGGCTTCTCTCCCCCCGTCACTGTACCCCTTTCCTTTCCTCCTGCAACCACCACCTACCTCCCCTTCCCTACATGCCACTCGCTTTCTCTGCTCCACTGACTCTCTTCTGGCAAAGGTTACCATGGCTCCCCTGTAGACAAGTCCAATGCAATCAAGTCGTCCACCTCATGGCCCCTCCTTGGCCTTTGGGACATGCCTTTCCTCTCAAAGCTCCCACCTCCCTTTGGTATTTAAGACCCTATTTTCTCCTCTTTCTCTTCCTAACTCAGTCTCTTTAGTTGTTCCCACTTCTGATTATTCCTTAAATGTTGGTGATCCAAGACTCTGTCCATGTTCTCCTGTCAGTGGATACATCCCCTGTAAACTCTGAATCTATCGCAGATATGTGAGGACTCTCCACTCAGTGTTTCTACACTGAATTCCTGACCATTTTCCCACCTGCACCCACTGTTCTGTTCTGTACATCCCAACTGAATCCTGATGTCTACCTCCAAGCCCATCCTCTTCCGATCATTACTGCTGCTAATGGCACCTGGGCCACAAGTGGGGGTACTCATCTTTCTCCCTCACCTCAGCCCCATCTTCCATCTCCATTGTTTCCACCTTAATGCAGATGTTCGTGATTCTTGTCTGACAACTGCAAAAGCTCTGCTGCTCCTCACCTCTATCCCCTCCAATCCACTTATTCGCTGCTGACAGATTCATTTTCCTAAAATACGTATTAATTATATTATTCCCAAGATTTCAAGGCTGTCATTGAATCCATTGCCCTCCGGTGGAATTTCAAATTTCTTTAGGTTGTGTCAGCCGCCAGTGATCTGTCTGCGTTCATGTCTGCCAGCATTGAGTCATTTGTGAGCTGCCACTCCCCAACCTGATCCCAAACCAAACCTCCTCCTGGAATTGACATGCGGATGTGTTTCACAAGTTCATGACTTTCTCATGCTTATCCTTCTGCCTGGAGTCACTTCTCTCTCAACCCCTTCCCACCTCCCTAAACCATTCCTTCAGCCCTGCCCACCACCTGGTAAAAATCTACCCGCCCTCCAAGAGTCAAATCAAACATCACCTCTACTAGGAAGGAAGTCTTTCTTGAGCCTGCCAGGTGGTGCTGCCCTGTGTCTCCTCCCTGTCCCCTGCACGCGTGGACTTCTCTCAGCAGCCATGATACTCCACCGTTCTCATTGATTTATCCTTTGTTACCAATGAGCCTAGCACCCTGCCTGAGACATAGGACGCATTAGCGGGATGCTGAAGGGAGGCAAATCAAATACTCCACATCTGGGAAAGTTCTCAAGATGCCATTTGAAGTAAGTGGAGGCAGGAAAAAACTAGAAAGCCATTGCATATTTATTATGAATTTAAAAGCCTCTCAGCCAAGTGGACCTTGACCTATTCCTCAAATTCTGTGGATTGCCCTAAATAACTTCTAGGTATGATTCCTAAAGATTTGAGATTTGCACAGTGAGGAATTTAGGGGATGTTTTCTGATGGAGATCATAAGACAGGGGAGGATAAAAGTAAAAGATGAGATCAGAGTTTAATTTTTCAGAACTCTACAAGGGACATTTATAAAAATATATAGTTGTGGTAAAAAAGAAACAGCTCATCATGCATTCAGGCCCATATGTGTGTGTGTGTATGTGTAGAGATGAAGAGTGAAGTCACCTTGTCGTTTCCTAAATTCTCCAAGTATGAGGTTCCTTGTCTGTAAAATGGGGCTGATAATGGTGGTGTTGCAAGGATTCAATCAGGCAAGGTACATAAAAGCATGTTGGCCCTTGCCTGGCTTATAGTAGCATTCAGTGAGATATAGAAGGAGAGAGAGAGAGAGAAAGAAAGGGAGGGAGCAGGAGGATAAGCTAGACAGGTTCAGCTCTCACTGTCATGAACACACTTTACCTACAGACACCTGTGTTTTCCACCTGCCCCTCCCCCCATCTTAATGATGTGTGCTGTGTTGTGAAGGCTACTAACACAGGACAAACTAAGAAAGCTTCAACAGACAAAACATGCACACTGTTGAAAATCCACTTATTCTTGCCTTTGTTTTTAGATTTAAAAAAAAATTGGCTTTTCTCTCAGAATTGCTGAAATAGTAGGTGCACAGACAGAACACTTCTTTTTCACTCTGCTGTTCCTATTTCTCACCCTTGGACGTGGAAACGCTTTTCAGAGTCTCATGAAAAACTCTCCAGGGTGGTTGTTTCTGCTGGGTCTCTTTAGCATAAACTCAGCTGTCTGGTCAATCTTACTATTGTGGATGCCCCTCCCCTTACCCACCCCACCCCACCCCCATTTAAACTGAACTTACTAACTTCAGGGTGCATTTGTTATTTCTTACCTTATCATTCATAATGAGTGGTAATGATTCTTCCCCTGTCCTATTTTTTAAAAATCTTTATGGAGTCATTTTAGGTGCATGTGAACCACAATCTTGGCTTTTTTTTAGGGTGCTCCTTTGAGGCTATACATATTTCATTCCATTCACCTTTCATCATAGGGCAGTCCTTCAGAACCCCTTATTATTTTAGCTGCTTTTTTTTTTTTTGCTTTGGCAAAAATATAAGACCAAGGAGCTGCAAATCTTGTCCTCCTGCTTATTTAAACAGCGTCTGGAAATCTGAAATAATTACCTCCTTTCGTAGTTTTAAAGTTTGGGTTTTCCTTTTAAAGATACACTGATATTGTGCAGCGGAGTTGAAAGGTTTAGGCTGGCAGTGTTGGAAATGCTTAAGTTCCCAAGGCTTTGAAAATGGTGTTTCCTCCATGTTCATCACTGCGTGCTGACCATTATCAATATACAAGGCTGATAGGGTGATTTCAAGTTCAGAACATTATATGGAGATATTCAAGGGAAAGGGTAACAGCTTCCTATGACTTTGCTTAATGCATTTAGCTATAACTGTACATGCAGCAGTGTGTACTAAGTGATTCATATTTGGAAATTAACATAATTATTTTCAATAGTAATTGATATCATCTGTGATTTCAAGAATGAGAGGTTTCAATACAAATAATCTGCCCTCCTAGCAAAGGGAAGAAAAGGAGAACAAGCAAGGAGGGAATATTTCTAAAATGTCCTATCCTTGGAAGTAAATGATCATAATGTGTATCTATCAGTTGGTTTCTTTCAGATGATGTATTCCAAATTGTTTATTGTCATCACTTTAAAACATTAGTATTTTTACTTCTTCATTTAGCCTCCACCATATTACAGATTTTTAAATGGTTTTGAATTAAGGTTTGGTTTTAATTTTGCCCTGAATTCTGATTCATTCCTGCACCCTTCAAATGTATTTCTAATGTTCCTAAGTAAATCATATTTGTGTCACGTGTTGAGCTTATAAGAGCTGATTCAATGAAAGATAAAGATTCAACATTAGCCAGCAGTGGAAAACATTGGTTGAAGGCACATAAAAACATGTGCATCTGTAACAGTTTAATTTTTTTGCCAATTTACTGTTTTAAGCTGCCAAAGTTGGACAACATACTGTAAAATTTCCAGTGCTAAAAAGTGTGAGAGGCAAATGCCAGCTAAAAACATATGTATTATAATAATAATATGAGGGGATATTTAATTTTTATTTATTGCAATTAGAATGCAATTCATCAGCTCTCAGTCAATTTGGTGTTTGCTGTCAGTGTAATCATATAATTATTTTTATTTTCCTCCTTTCTTTCAGAATGTATACACGGAATGAATCCATCTAGAGATGTTCACGGTATGTTAGATTACAAATTATGCTTTTTATAAAATATGCACATTCATATATGTATATATATGATTTTTATCTATGTGTCCTATAAATAACTTATAATACAAATTAACCAAATAAGTAAGGCTTTTTCTTTTGCTGATTCAAAACTACTTAAAAGCTGTTCTCCATATTATAAATGCACAACCATATAAAACATCCCAATGAAACTTTAAATGATACCCTCAGTGTTACAGCGTTTACCACAGGTGCATTCTGCTGTTATTAAATGACTCTATATGACTCTCTGGAAATAAAATTAAAAAAAATAGAGCTTGGCTTCTATCTGTTATAACCTAGTTTATTACCTTCGTTATAGCAATGGCAATGCAAAAGTTTTATGAGCGCAAAATGTTTACTAAGCATCCCTAAATTTGCAAAGGATTAATGTTGAAATTTTCTCAGTTTGCTACTTGCGAGCTGCACAATTGAGTTAGGAAGTTAGAGTGAAATAGTCACACATCAACCCCAGTATCCCATGGAAACAGTCACATGGAGGAAGGATGCAGTGGAAGAACTAAGGAATTAGATTTCAAAAGGGAGATAGATAATCTCAAAGCTCCTCCAGAGGGGAAAAATATGTTTAATCAAATTCCAATGTTGAAAACTGGATGGTGTGTCGAGCAGGTTATCTGCACATACATTAACATGTTACCCTGCCTCAGACTGTCCCCCTTCCTGTGACAGTGGTACAAACTGCGGCAATTTGGTTCAGAACCACTAGCAAAATACATTCTCTGATTTTTATTCTCATTAAAATTGTACTGGAAATAGAAATAATTCTTTCACAAATATTATATTTCTAGAAATGTAATTTTTTTTAGAAACCTCCTCTTTCTCACAGAGGGGAATTTTGATTTTATGAGCATGGCTGAAATTCTAACCCCATCTTTATGCATATTTTATTTTTGAGAGGGTTTTGAAAGAGGAAGAATGTAAAACATTTAGATATTTTCTGAGCCCACCTATAGTTATGTATGTACCTAAAGTTGTAGAAGAAAAACATCAATGAGCTGTTATTGTTTTCCAGGGAAATTATTTTTCTTTCAACTAACCAAATACTACTTCTAAAATTCACTGTGTAAACTACATTCCATCCCTGTTATGAGGCTTTTTGACATTTCCCCTCATGCAGCAAATAGGGAAGAATCTGTCCCATAGCATCCGCCCAACATACCGCTTCTCCTTGTATTTTTATCTTGTATTATGACAAAAGTAAATTTCGGTATTATTCCAGGGCAACACTGGGAGCAAGTGTGGGAACGTTTCCTTTCCTTTCTCTCTTTGAGAGGCAGTGGAAGGAAATTCTAATAGCCGTTGAAATGAGCGGTCTCGGGGAAAAGGAGCTCTTCATTTCGCACATGACGTTACTGAACTTGATAAGCTCCGTAAAAAGCCCTTCACATTCACACTAAGGGGATCCCGGGGCCCCTGAGTTGCGTCCCATGCTGCCTGTTTTCCATTCATTTTATTTCCTCGATAAGGAAGGTGCCTCGGATTTTTGTTTGTTTCTGGTTTTCAAATGTGCCCCCCCCCACACACACACCCCATCCCCACACCCCCGCACAGCGCAGTTGTAGCCCGCGCAGGTCCCGGGAACCCCAAGTGCACCACGACCTGATTTAAACTATATCAGCAAAAGCTCTCCTTGTTATTATCGTCCTTGTCGCCGTTCGCATGCGGGGTGTTTGGTTGAGACTCTCAGCTAAGCAGCGCCCAGGGTGCTGCTCTTGAAAGGCTACCCTTGGCGCATCTCACGCTGTACTTCTCTCTTCTTACTAAGGAAGGTAACTTGAGTCTCGCCGGGAGGCTGCGGCGGAGAGTCCGACCTGCAGCCCCTCGCAGGGTTTAGGGTTTCAAACCGCCCGAGCCCCAGAGGAGCGTTCTCTGACCTTTCTGAGTCGCGGATTACCCCAGTCCGCTCTATCCCCCCGAGTCGGAGCCCATGTTTGCCTCTGCCGCACTCCCAAGCCGCACCCCGCGCCCCCGGGGGGTTCCCCGGGGGATGCACTTGGCCGCGGCCCCCAGGAGCGGTTGGCCGGCTCTGAGGGAGAAGCACTGGCAGCCCAGGCAAGAGGGTGCCTCCGCTCGCCCTGACCTCGCCTCCAGAGCGGCAGCGCCGAGCCCGGGCAGAGGCGCGGCCGCCGGGAGCTTTGGTGACTGTGCAATATTTGGAATTACTCGGCTGACGCGCAGAGCGGACGTTTAGGGTCTTTATACTTGACATGGGCTTCTTCAAAATCATTTTAAAAATAAAAATACAAAGGAGTTTTCCACCCAGACTCCAGACCCAATAAAACAAACAAGACGCAGCTGGGCGCCGGCGGTTCCCGGAGCGTCCTGGGTTCTCCGGAGAGGAGCGAGGATACGGGCCCACCTCGGGGAAAGCGCGGAAGGCAGGAGGGCGCCCGGGACGGCTGCGGCACCCACGGCCTGGGGCGGGCCGACGGTTTCGGGGAGAGACCCCGACGCGGGCCAGTCGGGACCGCGGGACCGCTGCTCGGGGCACACGCGCCCCCAGCTCCGCTGCTCAGCGGCGGGGACAGCGGAGACGGGACGCGACCGCTCAGGCTGGCTTCCGCGGCCGTCTCCTGTCGTTTCTCCCCAAACTAAACTTATTACAAGAGCAGCCCAAAGGCCGCGAGGAGGGCCGGCGGCCGAGCCCGGCGCCGTCGGGGGCGTTCCCGGGCGCGCTGTGCGGCCCACGGGCGCCTGGAGCGGCGAGAGAGGGCGGCTGCTGCCCCCTGGCGTCCGCCCGCGGCCCGCGGCGCCTCCCGCGGGGCCTCGCTGGTCCTGAGGCGGGGGAAGCGGCGTGGGCGCCCGCCACGGCCCTCGCCTCCGTCAGGCCTCAGCCCCGGCGCTCGAGGAGGTCCCTCTCGGCGACGGGCCGCCACCCCCCAGCCGCGCGTCCGCAGCGGAAGGAGGGGCACCGCGGGGGGCGGGAGAGGGGACCCCCCCTTGAGGGAGCTGAAGTTGAGGAGTTGAACTTGAGGGCTCCGTGGGGCAGCCGGGGACGGGCTGCGTGAGGGGACAGTGGGTGAGCGCCCCACCCCGGAGGCTGAGGGATCCCGTGGGGGAGGGACCCCGGAGTGGGAGAGCACGCCAGGGCCGGACCCCGTCCGCCCCACGCAAATGCTTGCGGCGCCGCGGGGCCGGCCGCGGGGTGAAGTTCCCGCCCGTGCGCAAAGCCGGGGTGGGTTCGGCACCCGCGGGCCGCTCGCGCTCGCAGGGGCGGGCAGAGTAGCGGGGGCGGTTTCCGGGGCGCCGGAGGTCGGTGCGGGGCTCGGGTGACGCGGGCCCAGCGGCTGCTTTCAACTTTCCAGTCGCAGGTTCTTTGGGGTCTTCTCTGCCTGGGAAGCCCCTTGGCTCGCCGCTAAGCACACGCAGCCGGCGTGAGGCGCGCTGCGTAATTAAGCCGCAGCCCAGACGCAGCGAATCACACCAATTAAACAAGCCAAAGAGAAAACTAAAAACCCATAAAACGTGTTGTGGAGACCGAGAACCGTCTGGCCTCATTAAACGAATCAGCGCCACTCCGCTGCCATTGCCATCCAGGCCTTGGGGCCGTGCCGAGCCGCTGTCCGGCCGAGCTCTCGGCCCTCCGGCCCCCTCACGCCCGAATTGCAACCACAGCGGGGAAACAGAGGCTCGGCCATGGGCGACCGCGCAGGGCCTGGGGTCGCCCAGGGGTTCTGGCCCCGGTCCCGGGAGCCCCGCGGCGGCCGCTGCATCTCCAGGGCACAAGGGGCGTCTCCCTCTAGCTGGTCTCCAGGCCCGAGTCGCTCCGGGCGCAGCGCGCGTCCCGAGTCCTCCCAGGGCCGGCCGGCCTCCTGTGCCTCCACCTCCTCCTTGGTCTCCGGACCGCGGCCGCCAGTGGCGCCGCTGCGCACTGCAGCCCTGGCGCCCACCGCCGCCCAATCGCGCGCGTGTGTGCGAAGCCGTAGGGCCGCGGTCCGCAGCGGGGCGGGACATCGGGGAGCGTGTGAGCCTGTGCGTGTGTGTGCGTGGATGCTGGAGCGTGGGGCGGCCGCGGACTCTGCACCCCGGCTACGTACAGTAGCGCGCGGTGGCGGCGGGGGCGCGCGGGCCAATTCCAGGAGCCCGCGGCGGCGAGCCGCGCCCTGGCTGATACCGGAAAGGTCTGTGATTGGCCGGCGGCCGCCCCTATGCAAACGAGCTAAGGGAATGGAATTCCTCGGGCCGGGCTTACAGTAAAAGCACGTTCATTTCCAGGCACTCTCATTCATAGAGCCAGCGGGCGCAGGCGGGACGGGCGCCCCGCGGCCGGACCCAGCCAGGGCACCACGCTGCCCGGCCCTGCGCCGGCAGACACCTCCTCCCAGGGCTCCTGGGGACGCTAGAAGACAGTCAACCTTTGCCGCTTCTCCTTGACCTGCGCTGGAGCTTCGATTTTTTTTTTTTCTCTCTTTCTTTCTTACTTTTGAATGAACTGGTTTCTTGGCTCGATGGTTCAACTTCTTTCTTGGCTGTGAACTTTTCCCCGGTCGTTTCCTTTGACAACTGCAGGAGAAAGTGCGCTGTGCTTCGAGGCGAGCCGTGAAGTTACCTTGCGTGGGAGTGTGCGTGGGAGTGTGTGCGTGGGTAACTTGAGCCGCCGCGTCTGTTTCGATCTGCGCTGCGGTGCCTCCTTCCAAGGCCCGCTCCACCTGCTGCGGTTACGCGGTGATCCTGGGTATTGGCGCGTCTGGGCAGTTAACCCGCCGGCGCTGGGGCGACGTTGGAGGAAGATCGTCTCGCTACTGCCCAAGTCCGGGCTGACTCACGGAGTCGATGTAGACAGTGGCTGGCTTCGGAAGAGTGCGTGTCAGCGTGCGTGTGACTCGGCTGCTACTCAGCTGCCAGCAAACCACAGGGTCAGCCACAAACTTAACCAACATCCCCAAACCTGAGTTCTCAGATGTGGAGAGCTGTGCCCTGAGTGTCATCGACTTGGACTTTTTTTTTTTTTCAGATTAGCTTTTCTTTGAAAAGCTGAATTTTCTGAACTGAGCATTTTGCCAGAACTTATTGACAAGTATTTCTAGCCCAGCCCTTCTCCAACTACTGAAGCTGATTTTTCAAGGCTACTTTTTAAAAAATCTGCAGCGAACATTAATGGATTTCTGTTTAAATTCTCTACAGATTGTATTGTAAATATTTTATGAAGTAGAGCATATGTATATATATATTTATATATGTATGTATATATATATATATATGCACATACATTAGTAGCACTCACTACCTTTGGAAGTCGCAGTTCTCGCTTTTGAGGACCGAAGCCAGTTTTTCATGGTAAAAGTGGCGCTGTATATGGAAGACACTCGTGTATTTTGTGTCGTGTTGGTACTTTAGACAAAACTCACCTGGAAAAAAAAAGTGACAGGAGACTACTGGAACTTCCAAATTATGTGTTTGCTGGTCCTTTTGCTCTCTGCATAAATATTTTAGGAAGTGTATGCGAATTTTGCCTCCGGGAACTTTTATAACAGCCTAAGATTGAACTTAAGCTCTCAAAGCAAGGCTCAGAAGAAGATAGCCTCCCTTGGCATTTGACTTTGGATTCTGGTCGCCCACTTTTTAAAGCACTAAGCGGTCGGTTGCTAGGAGCCCTGCTGGCCGGGTCTGAGGCCGGTTGGCATAACTAGAACTTTCCCCCTCCGGGACAGTTGGTAACTTAGTCAGCCCCCTCTCCCAACCCCCCCGCAGCAATAAAGGTCCCTGAACTTGTATGTTGGTCTCCCCGGAGCTGCTTGCTGAAGATCCGCGCCCCTGTCGTCGTCTGGTAGGAGCTGTTTGCAGGATCCTAACTCAATCGGCTTGTTGTGATGCGTATCCCCGTAGATGCCAGCACGAGCCGCCGCTTCACGCCGCCTTCCACCGCGCTGAGCCCCGGCAAGATGAGCGAGGCGCTGCCGCTGGGCGCCCCGGACGCCGGCGCCGGCCTGGCCGGCAAGTTGAGGAGCGGCGACCGCAGCATGGTGGAGGTGCTGGCCGACCACCCTGGCGAGCTGGTGCGCACCGACAGCCCCAACTTCCTCTGCTCTGTGCTGCCCACGCACTGGCGGTGCAACAAGACCCTGCCCATCGCTTTCAAGGTACTCAGCCCGGAGCGGGTGGCGGGAGGACAGGCGGAGGCCAGCCCAGGCCGAGGCGATCCGGGAGGCCAGCGGCCAGGCGGGCGGGGCTGGGCTCTAGAGGGGGGCCGGCCCCTAGTCCAGTCCCTGCGCTCGGGAGATAGGGGATGTTGCGTTGCCGGGGCGACCCTCGAAGGGACCTGCCTCCTTCGGGGAGGGCTGAAAAAAAATCAGGATGCCCCCAAAGATGTCCAGTGAGGGCTGGTCGGGACCTTTCTGGCAGGGGTCCTTCGCTTTGTACAAAGTAGGAAACGTTATAACCCGGCAGGGGTGAGCCTGTCTGCTCCCCTACCTCTGGCTTAACACCCAAACCATTCTGCCTCCCCTTTGATGGAACATCAGGAAATAAAACAGAAATATTGTCATACCTTCGGGTCAGTGAAAATAAACTGACAAGGAAAACTGTCGGGGCCTCCCACCCCCTCTTTAACAGCCCTGTAGACATTAGCATGTCCAAAGTCCACTGTGGGCGTAGTTCAGTTTGCAAAAGTTTTCTGAAGAGTTTTTGCAAGCTTCCAGCCTGCTCCTGCCAGAAGCCGCAAGTAGCGAATCCTGTTTCTTTTCCTGGAACCCTCCTGAACGTTATCGCCGGCTCACTTAGATTAAGCCCAGCCCGAGGCAGCGAAAGGTGACTAGGCTGTCTTTCCTGAGCCGGGGGGGGGTCTAATCCGCCCGCATTTCTGTTTGAGGAGGGGGCGGCGTGGACCCGGCAACTTCAGCTGAGCAGCTCAGAGAGGTCTTCGTTCACTTTCACCCCTGATCTTGCCCTAGCTTTGAGCTGCCTTTAAAAACCTTGGCCTTCAACCGGGATATATAAACAACCCTGGGCGTTTTTTAAACAACCACTCCACCACTCTGGCAGCAAACAGCAGAAATGTAATTTCAGCGGTGGGGATTCCGTTCTTCTGTCTTGGGTGGGTTTAAGAAAGGTCAGGGTTTTTTTGTTTGTTTTTTTTAGTACAATCAGCATAGCCACTTCCTGTTCATTTAAAGGACTAAAGCAGGCAGGTGGGGGGGGAGATCTGAAAAAGTTGACTACTGTTTTTTTTTTCTTTTAAATCTGGTTAAATAATTGTCCTTTTTAAAGGAAGATTAATTTAATATAAGCTTTTTATGGTTCCAGGCCTCGGTTGGATCTTGATATAGTTACAATGAGTAATGTTCGCTCTTTTTCAAAGTAGTCGGAGTTCTTTATTTTTTGAGCTTTATACACCTTCCAAACTGCAATTATGATTTCTAAAACAAAACAAAAAGGGCAGTTGACTATGTCTCTAGAATTGCCTCTTGTTCCACTGAGTTTTCTGCAAGAAAAGAGTTTCTGAGGGGGTGGAAATGAGGATGAGGTGGCCCAGCCTCTGGACTCTGTCCCTTCCCTTCCTCCATGTATGTAGATTTGGGTTGGAGCCCATTTCAATTTTAAATCATCCTAATCCCTTTACATAAACAGATTTACCCCGAAGAGAGGACTCCATGAGAGGGGACCTGACATCATTGGGTCCTGGAGTCACTTTCAGACAAGAACAGAGCAAAGGAGACAGACTGATAATCAGCCAAAAAGGGTCAAACTCAGGAGCCCCGGACACACCGGGGGACTGCATTCTAAGGGGTCTTTGGCTTCCTTTGGGGTAAATCAGGATCTCTTTCTTTTGAATCTCCGTTTTCTGCCAGAAAACCCACACCCAAAACACTGATGGTTAATAGAGAATCTTCAAGAGTTGAAGCAACGTAGATTTTCCAGCCATCACATGAAAATATTTGTTTTCTTCTAAAAGAATAGGGGGGGGGGGAATCATGTAAATGGCTTTTATGAGCCAACAGGGAATTCTTTTCAAGCAGAAATGTTTAATAACCACAGAGATCTCCTTTTAAAAATGGCTTTCGACTGTTTGCTCTTTTTTAAAAATCTAATTTGTTTTACTGAGTGATGGTTTGTAGGCCACTCAAAGATCAAGGTATAGATCTCTTGAAAAAAGTTCAAGTAGGTCTTGAAAACATTTGGGGGAAAAGGAAAGGACAGCGGAGAAATCAGACCACTTGATTAATATCTGTCACCACTTTGGTCCCCACAAAATGAGCTCTTCCTGAGGAAAATCTGCTCATTACATAACTGAAAGAGCAGATGAGATGTTCAGCGAGGGGATAAAATGCAGAGGTTAGGGATAAAAGCAAGCTGAACTTCAGACGTGACTGCATCTGGGTTGAGCACCGTGTCGCTGTCCCCACTGTGTACTATCCACACACCCACCTCCCACGCCGTTCCTACAGAAATTATTACCTTAAAATTTGGATTTTTTAAATAAGCCTCAGACAATCTCTTTAAGAAGTTAATCAGTAGAGAATGATTATATTCCCTGTAATAAGGAGGAAAAAAATGTGAAACAATGATCAAGTCTGATGATATTGATGAGAAGAGTTTAAGTCATTCTTTAAGAGTCTCTGAAATCCTATGTATAAATCCTTTGCTTTGATCTTGGGAACTAAAGGGAGATTTAAAATTATAAATTTTCCTTAAAATAGGTTAAAAAATCATGCTAATTGCTTATCCTGGACTCCAAAATGTACCACCATCCCCTTCTCCCATGGAACACTTTTTTTTTTTCTTAAGGGTAGGAGAGATGTATATTTTTCTATTGTGAAAAATCTTTAATTTGCTATATGTTACCCATTATTTACAGAAGCAGCCTAAAAAACTGTTTGGATGACTTAGGATATATTTTATAGTGCTGTAATATTGTACAGTTTGTTTAGGCCCTGGTATGCCAGAATCCAAAGGCATGAAGTAAACATGCCTTCAGCAAGTTCAGGGGCTTTGGATGCTGATAGTAATAATCTTTCATAAGAAAGAAATAAGTCATGTTTCTGTCAGCGAGAGCACGGTCCCGGCTCTGCATTAAATGTCATCTCCCCTGAATTCTAAGTTCCACTCCACAGCTTTCTTTGAAAACTGGAAAATTAAGGGATTTGAATTAAATGAATTGTAACTGTAATTTCAGCCTAATTAGAGTTGGTTTAAATGCCAGTTTGAACTGTGAACAGGCTAGCCTACAGCAGGGTGGGTAGGTCCATGGATAGGAGGGTTGATATTTTGCCCAACTTCCTGATACTTTAAAAACAGAAGTAAAACAAAATATGATACCCTTTGGCCAACAAGTCCCTTCTTGCCTGTTTGGTCTGTGTTAAAATGTAAATGTTTGTGTTTCCTCACGTATTGCTTATAGCTTTTCATTCCCATTGCTTTGTTTCTTTCTGCTTAAAGTTAGATTATTTTTTTTATTCTCTTCATATTGCCTATCAATGTCAAAAATCTATCAAAGTAGCACACGTGAGTTTTAAATTAAAAAAATTTACCTAGTCTAAGTATGCTTGTTAATAATGAGGTGATATACATTATATTATTTAAGTTAATGTAATTTTCCTAGTTTTAATATTCTCCTCCCCCAGATGGAAAACAGAGAAATTCCTCCAAGCTCAATAAAAGGCCATGTAAATGATGTTTGAGCACCCAGATAGCTTTGATTCCTGCTGGTTTTTTTTTAAAGGGAGGGGTAGGAGTTAAACTAAATTTTTAGTTTCAAATTCCAACCTCAGCAACCTTTTCTTTATTTAGCCACTATGATCGGTTTGCTCTCTATTTGTTTCTAGTCGGTGAAGGTCTCACAAACTTGACAAATTACTGCTGAGGATAGTTTTGGAAAGCTGACAGAGGCACAGGCAGGGAGCACTGTAAGAGGAGCCAGTAAGAAGAAAGTGATTTAGAATATGTTTTAATAGTTATAAGAGTTATTTCTTTGAACCTCTGTACAGAGCCTATCCCAACCATGAGTGATTCAGTTTGAAAACCAGGCGGTTAATCTATTCCCTGAATGTTGGATTAAAATAGAGAAGCCAGGTCATCACAAGGAGGTGGGGATAAGGAAGTAAAATTATGTGTTCAAGGAGGGCATTTCAACACTGTGAGCTAATTTTACAGAGGGAAGTGAAAATCGTCAAAAAAAAAATAAGTGGAAAAATTTATAAGAGACTGAGTTTTTCGGAGCAGAATAAAGCAAGCACATTTTGTGGGACTAGGAAAAAATGGTAACAAAACTAAATAACCGATCAGGGAGATTTATTTCAGTGATGTTTTGAAACAAAAGGAAATTGTCATATTGCGGCTCAATTAAACGGCAACAAACACACTTATAATGGGAACTAAATGCCTAATTAGAGGGTGCTAGGGAAATAAGTAGCTGTGTGTTTTCAAATCTGCTTTATAGAAAACATGTTCAACAATTGTATGGAAAGGATTAGAAAGGAAGATAAAAGTCCAGACCTTGTTTGACAGTGCAAGTTGGATAAAATAGAGGAGGAAAATGCCTACCTATTGCATGAGAATCAATTCTCCTGGTGTGGCCTTGGGGTTGGAAGTATGAGTGTGTCTACCCCTCACAGCCATTTGGTTCCTTTTCCATAAGACTCCTTAGAACCCAAGAACTCAAGCATCGTAATGAATAAAAACAATAGATAGATGGTCATCTGGATGACATGAGGAAGGGGTGATGACTAAGCAGGCGATGAAAATGGGAATTTTGAATAACATGGCTTTGCTATCACACAAGTGGAGCACATGGCAGTCTTATTTACAGACAGAAAAAGAGGGCTGGAAATACAAGTATTAGCAAAAAATCGTGCAACAATCGTTAGGTAAAAATTGGGAGGTGGAAAATAGGGGAAGAGACAATCCCTGTACAATGCTTTTTACTATCATAACTCAAAAAGAGAAGATTATATAATTGGAACAAATAACACAAATTTCACTACTGACGGAGAGGGTGCCATAAGGGGTATCAGAAATGGCAGGACAAGTACAACTTTTGATTTGAAATTCTATGACCAATTGAAAAAAATAGAAACAATGGAAATACAGCTAATAATAAATGTCTAGACCAAGAATAGGATTTCCAGAAAGGTCAAATGATGACCAAGAAAGAAATACTACTGCATGGAGTGTCCTCAAGCCTTGCTCTTCAGAGCATTTTACTTTGAAATTACTGTTTTATTACCTAAGTATCAAAAGTATTTATCAGTTTTCTTCAATAGCCCTGCTGGGAAATCCATTTCTATTCAATTGCATCCATTAAAGGAATTCCTCTTCAAGATTACCTGGGTTGCAGAAAACCTCAGTCATCTATTAGGACGTAGTGAACACATCTCTGGGATTCCCAGATATAAAAAGGCGACATAGTTCTACTCCTGAATTCACAGGAACACATCAAGTGAGGTAGCACCCTCCTTCCTCTGACGTCTGTGGATTTTGTGCTTAGTAATAAGCAAAGGGTACATGTCTGACTTGTTTTTCTTTGTATGTCAGAATTCACTATTAGTGAAAATCAAGATAACAGAAGTGACTAGGAGTTTCCAAAGATGACCTACAAAGGGACAGTTTGTCATTCAACAATCATCAACAGTTCACTTGTAACGCTCAAATTTAATTTTAACAGGAGTAAGTTTAAACACCTAAGAGTAATGTTGGCCCTTTTAGGCCTGTCAGCGGAGCTCTCTGGACAACGAAAGATGGGTTAGGTTATAAACTTACCCAAACAGACATTCTGTTTTTCAAATGTGAAGAATTGGAAAGAGATGCGTGTATTCATGAGAAGGCATTGCTTTTCCAAGTCCCTGCTAGAGTCTTGTTCCAACTGTGCTCTGTGACTTTATGTGGCTTTATTGGGTGAATGTTTCTGATTCAAAAATTTATATTTGTTATGTATGATGGAATTAAAAGTAAATTTTGCCATTAGTAACCTCTTTGTTGTTTTGCTTAACTTGTGATTGATAGATACCCCTGTGCAAATTAAAAAGGGTCACTTAATATACATTTAATTTTAGAACAGTTATTACACAAAATGACATAAACGTTCATGACATTCCTGATGTCTGCGTTTGTCTCTTGACTGGTGTGTAGGTGGTGGCCCTAGGAGATGTTCCAGATGGCACCCTGGTCACTGTCATGGCGGGCAATGATGAAAACTACTCCGCCGAGCTGAGAAATGCCACCGCGGCCATGAAAAACCAGGTGGCAAGGTTCAATGACCTCAGGTTTGTCGGTCGCAGTGGAAGAGGTATGTATCTGTCAAAACTGAACTTGAAACACAAAGTATTTACATGGCAACAAACCCAAATTTCAAAACTTTTAAAAGTTTCTGTGATGGGATTCCTAGAAACACAGTCTTCCTTGTTATTATTGCTACCTCAAGCTTTCCAAAAAAACGTATTTAAAGTGTAATATTTTTAAACAGAATCTAGCTTTACATTTTTGCTTTCTGACTTGGAACATGTAAAACATGAATTGTGAGTTTTCAAGGAAACCCCTCAGCTCTTTACTAACGTGTGAAAATATAAAACTTACCCTCATGGAAAGTAGGATTATGCAACTGGGGTTCTCTCTTTGATAGTGATCAGAAATCTATTGAAACCTTAGGATCCATGTGCTATCTATGACAGAATTTCAAATGATCACTTCTGTTGGGTTGTCGGAAAAAGTCATGCTGCATTTTTGCAACGAAAAACAGAAAAAAATACATCATGACTTTTCCGACAACCCAATAATAATTTTAAGGGATATGTAGTGTATGATTATTATAACATGGTTTCAAATAAGCTTACCTTTTTATGGTAAAATATGAAGAAATAGTGGTGAAACCATTCTTGTTTGGTAAATTTGATGGCAATATGACCTTCCTATTATATATTATTTGGATGCCTTATTGTTATTTGGGAGGAGGGGTACATTTTAGGTAGTAATAATTATTAAAGACCAGATTATCCAGAGGAACTGTTGCATCAGTGCAGTTCTTTGTGTAGTTTTATTATTATTTGGCCATTATCAAAGAATTAGAGTTCTCCTCGTCGTGTTCTCCTCTGGTTTCCAATTATTTTCAAATATTGTGTTTTCTCTGTATTGTAAGAATCTGAGTCATATGTGATAAATGGCAGTAAGTACTAGAAGTTTAATTGAAAGAAATAGCCTCTTTTGGGTTGAAAGTCTCATTTTTGTAATATAGGATTGAGTAAGCTTATGAATGAAAGTTATTTCGAACGTAATAAAAAGACATGATAAATACCTAAATAATAGTAGATGACTCTTGTATTAAAAAAAATAAGAGTACAACCAGTGGACATTTAAAAATGAGAGTAATCATTATAAAAGCATTCAAAAATATAAGAAAGTCTGTGTTCTTAGGGAATTTGATTAGTTGAAGAGGGGAAAGGGGCAAAGGGCAAAGTTGTGTTGATTTTTCTTTTTCTTTCTTTCTTTTTTTGGCTATTGTTTTGCTATCCTAGCTGGAGCATTTCCAAAATAGAATCATAGGTGAGGAAAATTTTAAAAACGTATAACATGATTGAAAATATATGTTCATAGGACTATGTTAATAATAGGGTAATGCAAAGAAAATTATATCCACTTATTGAAAGCATGAGTGATGCTACAAGGTATAAAAGCATAAGTCATTAAATGGGTTCATGTTATATTAAAAGTCCCCGCCTTTCAGTAAATGGAATTCACATTATGATTCAGAGATGTGTGTTTAGAAAACATCTTAAGGCTTCGGATGAGTAGCTGGCAGAGTGGGTGAGAAGCCAGTAAAAAACAGAGGCCCCACCTCCTGATCCATGCCTACTGGCCTCGCTAACAAGCTTAATACATTTCTGGTAGATTTCTACTAGTAGGAACTGATGGCTGAGTATCATTTGAGTTGCCTTTCCAGAGAAAGTAATATTATTAGAGTACACATCCGTGTGTGTCTTATGTGTCAGGTTTTGGTTATAAAAGTTGTGGAAACTATTTAGTGGCCAATGCCAGTGACATTGTCCCATACAAGGTTCAGTTGTGGCTTTCTGGCAATGCGCAGTAAATCAGTTTGATTCTAAAGAATGAGATTTTGAAAGCAGCATGCTTCCTTTTCTGGCGTCCAGGGCTGGTCTCTGGTCTCATTGGCCATTTCTGTTTTGAGTGGGTGACTAATGGGTGCTTGTGTTTACTTGGATAACAGAGAACTGTTTCCTCAAGGTGTGGATTGTTTGCATTTGGCTGCCTGATTCATGCCAGCATGCCCTTGAGTTTGCATAAAACCCCAAAAATAAAATAGCTGCAACCAAGGTTGGGCTGTGTTCTGATAACCTGGAACGAGAAAATGAATTGAAACATCGTAAATTGACAATATCTGTTTTGAATGGTCTCTGCTTCCCATGAGTGATAATTAGGAATCCAAAATACAGGAACCTCAATTGACCATTCGGCCCAGTTACAGTTACTGTGTATATTGTTGGTCTTCAGTGATTTTTTTTTTGTCAGTACTATGAGACAAAATGAGCTTTCCAAAGGCCCCGTTTGACTCTGTCTCATAATTTCTCTTCATAGTCGTAAAATACAACTTGATTCTACCCTTTCAAGTGTAAGTGTCAACATCAAAGCCTGCCAGGTTTTTTGTTTGTTTGTTTTTTGGGTTTTTTTTTTCTTTTTGCAATTTGCTCCCCATTATGAAGAGAGCCAATGATTCTCACTAATTTTGACAATTAGTCTCCATCTTCCTCACTGAGTCTTGTCCTTTAAAAGTTTCACTATGCTTTATTAAGTGGTCTTACGGTTATTTTCTATTTCATTTTCTGGTTTTGAAAATGGGCCTAAAAACATGCCATTGGCATCAACACACCACACAGTGGCCGAGAAGGTCCTGGCTCATCCAGACATTTCCATGCAATTACACATTCTGTCAAAAGGTCCGATGGATTCTCAGAGGGGCCCGGAGCTCAGTTCCAAGTGAAGGGGAGAAAAAGAAACTCCCTTTACTTTTACCAGTGGCCCATCGGTGGGGATTGTAAAGCCTCGTAGCAATTGCCGGAGGTTGAGCATGGAAGGGATTTTTCTCTGTTCTACAAAACTGATCTGTTTGGGTGCTGGCCGATTTCCAGGATCACAGCTCCTCCTAACCTCAAGTTCAGCCCGCAACTGGGAAAACCTGCCAGTCCGGCTTTTACGGCCTGGCTGACAACACTGTCCCTTAAAAAATATTGGTGAAGCTTTCAGCAGTCTGCACCTTCTTCCTTTCCCTCCCTTCCCTCCTTTTTCTCCTCGTCAGTTTTCAATCTTGTTCAGGGTAAATCTGACCCTTCGCATTTTCTCCCTCTGATTCGGTGTCTCCGCGTCCGGTGAGCGCTCCTTTACAATGGAAGGAGGGATAGCAGCTCCCAGGAGAAGAGAGGCTGTGCTGAGCACACAGGCCGTTGTTCAGAACCACTCACACTTAACCTCATGTTCGGGGCTTCCCCCCCCCCCAGCCCCCCCTTACCTCCAGAAAATGGAAGTTCAGGATCAAAAGAAATTCTCTTTGACGAGGTTCATTAGCAGTTTACATTCGGTTTACATCAGCAGTGGAGGCAGGTGCTACTGATATTTTCAGTTGCAAGAAAGTGTATCATGGCTTCAGCTGAGTGACATTTAAGAAATTTTAGCAGCGAGATCTATGACTGCTTTCGTCCCTGTTGGAGTACTTAATCAATTGGAAAGGATTTGATCAATCAGGGAGTACGGCTTTAAGTTAATTCATTTTAGAACCAAAGAGGAAATCTCCCAGACAGTATCATCAACCACATCGTAAGTAAAGGAGGAGACTCCACTGCACAGGTCCTAATTTTTCTAAGAATATGGTTTTTAATCTTTTGGTAACATTATAGATCATTTTGAAAAATCCTTGGGAAGCCTTCTCCCAAAGGAAAAAAAAATGCACACGTGCACTTACACACACAGGTTCATGTACAACTTCAGATCCCAGGGCTGCTGAAGTTCATTGACGAACCTCTGGGGATACATGGACCTCCAAGCCAAGAATCTGTGAATTTGGAAGTTTGCCTTGACCATGGAGTGGCAGCCTAGTGCTGTGCTGCACGGTAGATAACTGGAAAAATACACAAATAAGGGAACAAGTGAGGCAGACGTTCTTTTTGTACCCTGTGCTGTGTTGGTTACCCTCGGTTTATCACAGCCTGAATCTGGTTGGTATATTTTGGGAAGTAGATCCCATTCAAACTGCTGGTCCAGACCTTCGAAAGGCCACCAGGTGTGTGCCTGCATGGAGCCCCTTGCAAAGGAAGAGGGCCCATTTTTTGTCATTGAGAGGACAGCCTCTTCTCTAATCACTTCCTGGGCCCCTGGCTGCAGAGCTGCAGTGCGAATTCCACAACCAGCCCCGGGAGGCCACGTGTCCTTCGGTCTCCTACGACGGGGTTTAATTTCTTGGTGGAATCTGTGTTTATGTCGACCTTCCTGGCAACTTTAATCTTGCCCACTTTCAAAATAGTACCCTTTCCCAATGCTTTTACAAAATGAAATTCCTTCATTATGTTCTTGCTGCGGATGTCTTCCCAGACATAATATTTACCCATCACAATCTGGGTTACTGCCTATTTGTGTAATGTTCCTTACTTAAGGCATTTTCATTCTTGTTATTTTACATTATTTGGGGAACTGTATGGGAAGGTTGCCCTTCAGATGAGTGAAAGACTGGCTGAGATGAAGAGAAGGTACATTTAGAAAAGGATAAACTATGCTGGTATTCTAAATGAAAAGAGACATGTCTTTATGGAGTGGTTATTACTGAGAAATGGTCTGAATGACTCACAGTATTATCATAGGATCCAAGTCATTCTCTAGTCCATCACAGACTCACATAATAAGGGAAGGAAAAATTCATCTGACAACCCCAGATTGTTTCATGGATAACATACAAGATGATAAGGTGGCAATTCGATCTCCTGGAGACAATACAAGGAAAACGTGGGTTGTATTAAACTCCACTTCCCCATTTCCCCCCCACCCCCCCTTTCTTTTTCGGGTGTGATTGATCTGCACTTTAAAATAATATGTATATACTGAAATCAGTTTTTAGACTTCAGTGTGGACAAATATGGATGGAAAAAGACCCAGCCTCTGATACTCCCAGCCTCAGCCCCTAGCGAACAATTCTTTTAGATGCCAGATCGAAAGCTAGTATCCATGATCTGATGGAGAATTCATCTCTACAGACCAGGCGTCTCCTTCTGTTTTACATTTGCCAATAAAAGA